ATTTTCTACGCAACGTATCGTCTATCTCTACTCCGCTTTCTCTATTTGATACTTATCTAATCCAGCTACTCATATTTTTGTCATGACATATGTTTATCATTTATCATTTTATGCACAAATTCTACACTGCAGTCTGCAGCACTGCCACACGGCACACGTCACGCGAACAACACGACAAGGTCTAGTACAGAATTTGACACTTTAAATCTAATTTCCAAATGAAAATGTGATAATATGGAGAGGCCGTAAGATGTCTTACACAAATCTGACAGTATATAACAGCCACGACAACGCTGTGTTGTTTTATATGAGTATGATGAAATTTTCATTTGACCGAGATTGGCACCGGCACCGGAACATGCGATGACAGGGATGTACGTAAAACATGTCACTTCCGTTTAATACAATTTTTGCTATGCTTTTCCATACAGAAAAGACTATTTAAAATAATGCTAGTATAGTATTTTTTTGCATTTCACTATTCTATTTAGCTATTTAACTTATGAATCTGGATGATTATATCTTCGTATATATTCATACTCACAGACATTGAAGAAGCGATTCTAGTTTTGATCAGGCGATCATGGCTGCCCCCAAGGAAAGCAAAATTGAATGCTTATTATTTAGTGAATTTCATCCTACAGCTGGTCCAAAAATAATGTACCAGGCATGTCTTTATGCTTATGTCCGTTACGTGTTAGATGTTAGTAACCCATCTAAAATTTAGGGTATTATAAATGTTATTGATTTCGAATGCCTACATTTTAGATTGTTTACTAAAGTAATTTTACTACTGTGTACAGTACTGTCTGATCACAGGCACTTTGACTGTTTCAGTAATAAAATGATGGTTAATAAATACAACTTGTCAGTACTAGACCTACCAGTACCAGTACCAGTAATAGTCTTAATGTTTGATTTGACCTAATAACTTCACTTCAACACCGTCCAATACACTGCTGCAACACATAGCGCGCACGCCATTGGCATTGTGCGTGCACAAATACACAGTGATATAGAGCTACTGGTACTGGTACTGGTAGGTCTAGTACTAACAAGTTGTATTTATTAACAATCATTTTATTATTGAAACGGTCCAAGTGCCTGTGGTACTGACTACTGTGTGATAGCTCTAGTACTATAGCTCACGTACAATTGCCGCAGGCCTGCAGCAACTGCCTGCGGCAACTGTACGCGGGCTATAGTACTAGAGCTAACTGTGTGACATCTATCACTATGATTGTCTATGGTGACACTGACACAGTAACACTCGGTGACACCATAGATATATACAACACACATATGTGTTGTATATATCTATGGTGACACTCACTGTTGAATTTGGTATCATTCTTATAAGTTATAATTAATCTTAATATTAGTTTCCAGAAAATTACATAGATAAGGAGCTGTTCGATGCCATTCACATCTACATCATCACGAAACCACAGCTGCAAGGCAGACTGATCATGTCGTAAGTTAAGCCATCATTCATCAATGATCAATGATGTTAACCTATTTCGTCATCACGCTATATAATTAAATGTAATTTGTGTCTTATAACTTTGTACGAATGAATTTCTAATATAATTATTTTATTTTCTGTTGCAGGAACGCATTTGGCAAAAAAATAATGGGTTGTCCAGTTTGCATTGATCATCCCAAGTATGCAAGAAATGCACTCATCTTCAATCTGTGCTTTGTATTTGATGGACTCGCAAACAGCAGACCTTACGAGAAGCCAGTCAGGAAACTCTCCCGATATCTGGTCTCTTTAGAGGTTGCTATAATAATTGTTTTTATAGCCTACCTTGTAATGTTATAGATTTGCTAGCTATGCATGGGGTCTGGACAATAGTTCTCATAAACCATTTGCAGCCACTGTTATAAAACAGGAAAGGAATCAACAGCCAGATAAATAGAAATATGCTGTTTTCAACTCCTATTGCATGGTAAACTTAAAAAAAGACTAAAAGTAGTTTGTTATCTCCTAATTTATCAACGATATAGACTAATGTGGCAAATTATAAAATGTAACTGTGCTGTGCTGGTAAATTTATGCACTGTGCATTTCCTAGAGAGAGAGTGGATTTCTATCCAATGAGGAGAGCAAACAAACACTGCCGAGAATAATGGCCCAGATCCTCACCGACCTGAACGAGCAAGGAAGTTGTGCAGTGGAAGTTAGTAAGTAAGAGAGAGAGAGAGAGAGAAAGAGAGAGAGAAATTAATAACATGTTACAAGTGAGAGATGAACTAACTCTGCGAGTAAATTTAGTAAGTGGAGGATGAGTAACTTTGATGTAAATAGGAGATTGAACAAAGCACTGCAGTGGGGAGGGGGGGTTTGTGTGAAAAAAGAGTGAGTAACTTTTTTTAAACTAGTTCGAACAGGACGAGTGGTTGTCAAAAATATCTTAACCAAATTATGAAATAAAGTTTAAAGAATATAATGCAAAATGACATCACTATATTACCGTTGTTCGAGTGTTTTTAACCTGACTAAGCATTAGCATGTGTTTACACTGTGCTGTTGGATTTTCCAGACCAGGTGACAACTATATATCTGAAGACATTGCTGGTTATTAACAACCCAGGAGAGGTGCATATGTATGACGTTCCCATCTTTACTGTGCAGTGCGACTCCTTCCACTCTCACCAGTGGGACCTCACAACACAACAGGTTTGAGTGGCATGGCACATTTTGGCTAGCTGAATATATCAAACACTTGGATACTGGTGCATATCATCGACGTAATTTAAACTCTGTTCCCAGCTTTCATATATCATAAACTGAACAAGCATCAAAATAAAATGGAATATGCACTCTATCATATATATATATATTGGTTGGGAATACTATGTATAGCATTGTGAATGCACGAGTGATGCACAAAAAATCGACACATCTAATTAAAATCTCACTTATTCCACATATTGTAAGAATATCTGTCACAACTTGTATATTGTATTTTACAATATAGGTTATTTAGTATCTGTTACAGAGAACTTGCCTATTATAGCAAACATTTTTGTGTGATTAAATACATCAAGAGAGGACAATCTTCTTGGTTGTATATCCAAGTTACTGTATTATGTAGTGCAAGAAATAGCAAAACAGTGTCTTATCTATTTTCCCACCATCTCCCTTAATTCTTCCCCTGATAATATGGGACCCTATTATTGCAAGCATGAAATTATTTACGGTTGTCCAACTGATTACGCTATCCTTGCATTGCAGATACTACCGTATATTGATGGGATGCGGCATGTGGCGCGGATATCAGTCGAGAGTGATGTTGCCATTAGCCTTGTAAAGAGCTGCCTACAGAACATGCTATACTACGGCATCATTAAACTATTGCCAATATTCCAGGTAGACAATTCTTATTCAACGAATGCAGCCGACTGTGGTCAAGACGTGTGAATAATCACAAACTAATATGTTATGATACCTAGTGTAGTCAGACAGGTGTGTAGGGTGTGGAACTAAAAATTAAATGATGAGCAGCATGCATGGTCTGTGGGTCTGCAGGTTTTAAAACTAAATAAAACAAAGTTATATTTAATCCCCACTGTGATCAGCTTTATGTGGGGTGAGTGGGAAAATAAACAGAGAATTAAAGCAGTTTGCTTGGTGAAGTTGCAATTTACTGCTGTTGCGTTTTGCAGTAGGATTGCATTCAAACTATATATTTCTTCTGGCAGTATTCCAATGTCTACACTGTGACATCAAAAATCAACAGATTGGCACAAGACAGAGATCTGCAGAATGAGTGCAATAAATATGTCGCCAAACCAGGTACAGTGTTCCAACTGCCAGGCAGATATTTTGGAATGAAATAATAATTTATAACATTGCCTGTGAAATTAGACCCTAAGTTTTTGATGCAGCGAGATTCATTTTTCAAGGCAATGCAGATCTTGTAGCTTCTAAACCTAAATGTGATATGGTGGAATTGCTGTTTCAGGTCAGCTTGGCTTCCCCTGTTTTCGTGATATCTTCATGCTGTTCTGTAGCCTTGGACCAGGCACCCCTGTTAAGGACTGGTGTGCACGTCATAACCCCCAGCAACTAAAGGTGGACGAAAGGTGAATGATCTTAATCCTAATCATAATCATAGGGCCAAATACTAATTTAATCCCCTATTTACTGGATCCATATGACGTATTGATATCATTTGCTATTAAAAAAGTTATATCCAGAATTGAACTATAGAAACTCTAGGCTATACTTGCTTTTTTTTAAATTAGGGTCAATGGGGTCCACTATAATCAAACCTGTGTAAGCAGACATAGAGGTTTGACTGTATATGCATAGATCTACACACCTCCCTTTTATAAATGCATCCATTAACATTGCCTCTCAACAAACTTTATCCTCATTTTTCAAAAAAGTCAATGTTTTCAACTTCATAATATACCTTTCTTGAAAAAAAATGCATGGAGAAATAGATTATGTAGATGTTGTTCATGCCATATAAATATATAATGCATATCTTCAGGAGTGAATAAAGACAAAGGTGTGTGCAAGACACCATTCCAAAAATAAAGCTTTTATTTACTCCAAGAGTTAATAAGAGCAAATTTATTATTACTCCTGGCATGTTGTATATGTCATATTAATATATAATGCACATGTTGCTTCTATCTGCTACAGGCGCCTCATCCAGTTCGGCGTTCTCCATGGCCTGCTACGACGGATCCACAAATACCCAGTGCTGTTAACAAATGAGCCAGGCTCACAGAACCTGCGACTCCTTTCTCGCTGGCTCAACGGACAACATCACTACGATGAGATATGCTGCCGAACAGGTAAAAAATATAACGCGTTTTGGACTTGTGCTTATTTAACTATATATAGTCCGAACATATTTGTCAGGTATGAGTGTGATAATATACTTATTGCTGTTAATGTAAACTATTCATGCAAAAATAATACAGTTTTTTTTTAAATATGCCTATAACAGGGTGATGTAAAATGCTGATTTTTTTCTTCTCGTTTGTTATTTTTAGTTGGTTATTTTGTGTGTTTTTTGTATCAACAGGGCTAAGTTACAGCGTGTTAGACGAGATGATAGAAGATGATCCAACCATTGTTGTCTGCTGGAAATAAACTCCAATGTGTGGCTGCATGGTCTCAAGTCATTCTCGAAAACTTCAATCATTTTATGAAGCAATTTCTAAACAGTGTGTATGATGTCATATATTCCTGCATATTCCTGCTGATTGAAGATGAAAACCCTCTACGAATAGTGTACATATTGTATATATTTCAGATGAAATCAAATTGTGATAATAATGTTTGTCAGTGGAATAATGCTTTAATTTGTAGTAATTATACTTGTGATGCATCGTGTATATATACACATCATATCCTGCAATTGATAAGATCATGTTAGCAGGTTGAGTTATCCATATATTATATGGCCCGCATTACTCTCTCATAACATATTTTGTAATGTAAATATGTACATAAAACATTTCACTTGCGATAAGATGTCATAATATATTTTATGATACCATGCAGTGTTGGTGTGTTAATTTGATCAACGAAAAAGACTATCTCCTTCCTTTCAGACTTACATTTACAGTCCACAATCTACTATCTAGAATATTCTTTTGTTAGAATATTATCGTAAAAATTGTAAATATTATTGCTAAATATTGCTGCTAATAAACACGTTGGTGTTTTCAATACGCGAAGAATTCGTGCCGTGTTAAAAATAAGAGCGAGCGTCAAGATACAACGTACACGATACTCGCTCTAGAGCTCTATTAATTCATAAAAGTACCGACAGGTAGCGCTTTCACAACATTTGAAGCGATCGGATTTTCCATTTCGTGGCGGGAAAAATCAAAACTTATCTCAATATCTGTTACTGCTGCTCCTGCTGGTAGGAAAGAAATTATTTTAATTCATTTCCAGTATAATTAGTTCTATTAGGCACAATAATTATACGTCATTTTTGGATTACTTAGACAGTAGTCAGTAACGATCGATGGACTCACAGAGTCTGAGTGATTATATACGTCTACAGACTACAGTCTACACTACAGACTACAGTACACTGTCTGAGTGACATCACTGTCTGAGTCGACGTCACTGAACACAGGCACTTGATTCTTGAAGCGTTTCAATAAAATATAATCATAATGCTAAGTAAATACGAAATCTATTTATTACCAAATTCTTAATGTTTCTATACTCAGTCTCTCTTTCACCTACTGACCAGATAGCCAGCGTGTGTCGCGCTTGCCGCTAGTGCGTACAATTAGTGTGTTATCATGGCCAGCAGTAGCTCTAGTACTATACTATAGCCCGCGGATCGCTGCCGCAGGGCTATAGCACATTCTGCCATAGATGTAATCTAAGCAAATGGTCCAACTGATGTGACCAAAAATGTATCCCCAAAACGTAAAATGATCGGGCTTTTTAACACTTATCTATCAACATGGACATCTCACCTATCTTTTTGAACACTTCCACAACTTTACACCAGGTATTTATGCTGTTATTCCTCAAAGTCTTAGCACTACTGGTGTTTTGTTTTCAAATTCGGTTGCTCTGCTTATGTGTGCACGCGTGACTCTTCAGTGCTAAGACTTTGAGGAATAACAGCATAAATACCTTGTGTAAAGTTGTGAAAGTGTTCAAAAAGATAGGTGAGATGTCCATGTTGATAGATAAGTGTTAAAAAGCCCGATCATTTTACGTTTTGGGGATAAATTTTTGGTCACATCAGTTGGACCATTTGCTTAGATTACATCTATGGCAGAATGTGCTATAGCCCTGCGGCAGCGATCCGCGGGCTATAGTACTAGAGCTAGGCCAGCAGCAGTGTCGATTGATGTACGGACCCGATTGTTTCATGTCTGTTATGTATGTGGCGCGAACTGACGTAGTGTGTGGAGCCCTACATATAAGTCGACAAAATGACGATTTACGCGTATGTCGTCATTTTCGTAAGTCGGCACAAATATGCTGGTCCCAAAAGTGTCGACTTATGCGAGTTTTACGGTTCAATGATAGAGAACATGGGTCCCAATAAAACCAATGTCATTTACATCAATAATGACAATATAAATAATATTACATCAATATAATAGGTTAGGGTTATGGTTAGGGTTAGGTTTAGGCACATTGGTTTTATTGGGACCCATGTTCTCTATCCTTAGGCCAGTTTTACTGTAGTAGTACTACTACTAGTACTAGCAGGAGTAAGATAATATAGGATCCTATATTATCTTACTACTAGTACTAGTAGTAGTAGAAATCGAGGAAGGATGATGATGTTGATGTGCTACGTGACTACGTCCATTATTTACATTTCGTATTTCTCTACCTTTACATCAATCTGTGGTCTACTCTCATTTGCTTACAGGAATATGGATTTGCAAAAGGTTCAAAACAGCATTGTATTAATGCAAAAGAGTTTGGAGTGTGCAATATGGTATGCAAAAATTTTAATTTATTTCAAGTGTTTAGCATAGTGTCAGTGATATTATTTGCAGTAACATCAAGAGGGTAAATTTGCTAGTATAAATTTGTCATAGTTTAGCCTATATGGAATCATGCTCACTACTGTAAAAAAGTTCCTCTCCCACTATGTAATATGGCACTGCAAATGCTGCTGCAAGCAAAAGTTCTCAACCTTGACATGAGTTTAAGCCCATATACATACCTCTGACAGTTAATAACACTAGTTAAACTTATACACTTACAATGTGGTTTCATCTTTCAGTTTGGAGTTGCTAAATGACCCTGTATCAACACGATGTGACCATCAGTTCTGCAGGTACCACTTCATACAAATACTCCCAGCTACTGTAGAATTTACGTAATTATATCATATAATAACTGAATCCTCATTTATCTGCTGCATATGATTAGCACATAGTTTAGGAGTTATTTCTCTTTCGTTGTCATCCATTTCTTAGACCTTTATTGAACCACCGAAACAATCGGTTTGTGTATGCTAGGTGACTAGATGCAGACTGGAATTGTTAGTAAGAAAGTATCCGGTATGGGCTGCAAATAATGATGGGAAAACTTCTAATAAATTTCATTGCATCACTTTTACTCATATTGTTTTGTGTTAAATGTTATCTCAATTTTATTTGTTGTAGGGGTTGTCTCCTGAAAGCATTGTCTTGCAGGAAGAATAGACAAATCTGCTCTTGTCCTCTCTGCAACGAACCCATAACAAAACGGTAAGGAAGTGGTTATTTTCTGCATTAATTTGGCTGCCATAGAGCCTATAAAACTGGTAGTAGTTGGAGCAGCATATTCCAATTTTTCCAAAATTTCTTGATGAATATAGAACCCTCTCATTTCTATAAAGAAAAATGTTGTGCTATATTCTTCATGATTGTAATTACAACTTGTTTCAATCTATGTGTTTTATACCTTTGTAATGGACATATAGTTGTGTCTGCAATGCAGTGAGGGCATGATATCAAATTTTCCAATCTTACTTGTCCTTTAATATGTCATGAAATTGACACGGAGGGTCGTTTTACAGCAAATCTTTACAAACCCTTGCCAAAATTTACTCGCTTTCACAGCACATAAATGTTTGCTGTTTGAACAACAACCAGGTACCTAATATGTTTGATGGTAGGATTTAAGTGGTTGCAGGATACCATAAATACGTATGTGTGAGCTCACATGTTGACGTGTTTTGCACAATGCAGAAGTTTACGGGAAGCGTGTCGACTAGGAAAGATAGCCCAGGCTGTGCAAGAGATTGCAGCTGCTGTACAGAATGATACTGGGATTGAAGGTAGCAAAACCATACTTATGTGTCCGTTTGAAAAATCTAATGTAAGGAAATGGTGATGATATGTTTTGATGACAAGCAACTTCAGCATATAGTCAATATTAGATCATAAATACATATACTTGGTAAAACATAATACATGATGCAATATATAACTAAAAGTTCAATGGTAAGACGGTGAAACTATGCAAAGAAATTAGGGAATAAATGCGGAGAAAATTTGATACTAACAATGATAATAAATTGATCACAGGGTTGATATTGCCAACTGCCTTGTTGGCCATTGCAACCGAGGAGACTAACAACAAGAAGAGGATATCTAATGTGAGCTCATGTTGTCATGGTTACTGCTAATATTTAAAATATAAAGAAAAATTGTAGAATTAGAATAACATGCATAGAATTAGCAGTGATTACAGCTGTAGTATAGATTGTACTAATGGTCATTATGTGTCATAAAGCATTTTATTTGTGCAATTTTTATTCTTGAAATGAAATTGTATCAACACTTATTTTTCTGCCTGTCTGTTGTGATGCTCACAGGTCGACTCCGTGGCTGCTCAGTTAAATGAGAACAGAACAAATGTGCAAAAGGCAAAACGAAGAAGGTTGCAAGATGAGACCCCTGTCTACATTGAGCCAGGTCATTGTGGCTTGTATTTGCTAATGATACATTCAACCTAAATTATGTACTTTGTTTTACATTACATGATCACTGAGTTATGATCATTGTCACGATAGTGTGTATTTTAATGTTCTCTTTACTATATTGAAGTCTCGTTACTTGTGCTAGTAGATACATGTGGCACTTTAATTAGTAACTAGAGATTACTAGCTGATTTTTTTACTACAGATGCTGATACTGCTGATGAGGAAAACAAATACATGCCTACAAACACAAATATAAGGTTTGAAATTACATATATATATTTGTTTTTTTATCAATTTATACCAGCGTAATCTTTATGGTTCGGTGTCTACAATATGGTGCAGCATTTGTTAAAATTTCAAATCTGAGAATCACCTCATCTGTAAATCAGTTTAGGCAAGTAGTATGTCTCAATACAAAAGCATGTGAATTTTCCTAGTGGCATGCCTAACTTATTAATGCCTTCTAGTCTCCAAATAGAGTTCATCCTATTATAACTTATCAATCTAGAACCTACATATTGGAAAACCAGTCATATACTCTTACACGGGGTCAGCTAGTCAAGGAATAGAATGATATAAGAGGTTTGTGTACGCATCATTTAAAAAGCATATTCTATGTAAAAATTCTAAATTATGATATATTTTTAAAAAAAACTGAAAATGTTTTATTCAAATTTGCATTTAATTATATGTAGGTGTGGTAAGGATGTTGGTTCTAAAGAAGGTCTTATTCACCCTACACGTTTTTTTGAACAAGCACAGTTTTTATTATATAATTTAGGCTTGTTAAATAGTTCTCACCTAACATTCTACTTAAAGCCAACAACCTCTTAGAATGAATCGTTTCGATTACTTGAAGACGGTGTCGTTATTATTTCTAATGCTTGTTGTAGATCTGGATTTCCCGTCACCAGAAGAAAGAGACGCGTGCGTCGGAGCAACCGGCGTAATGTCGCCGACGTTGCGATCGCGTCTCCGGTAGCAAAGAGACTGAGGGATGAAGGTGCCAGGGACACTGCAGGGTTCCCAGACGCAGTAGCTAGAGAGGAGGAGAAGGAGGAGGATGTTGCTCTGACGAACCAAAGCCAGGTCGTCATGTCGTCCGTGCCGCCGCAGTGCGATCCCGCGTCTCCGCGACGAGCGCGTTGCCACGGCGACGGCGAATGGACGCAGAGCCTTCAGTGGTTCGACGCGGCGGGCGAGCAGCAAGCGACGCGTTCGCCGCACTCCGCGAAAACACAACAAGCGCGGCCGCGAGCTTGCAGCGCGCGTGGGGACGGCGAGGCGCCGAGACGCGTCGAGTCAACCGACAACGACAGCAGCGTCGCCGTGGAAACGGAATCGGCGCAGGAGGACGGATACTCGGCGTACGCCGACGTGCCCGGCCAGCACGACCTCGGCGCGATTCCCGCGAGCCAGCGCACTCCGACGACCGTCAAGAAACATCTGAACGGCTCTCGCGGCAGGCGTTCCGCGGCGGCGACGTCGAAGCGTGCGGCGAGGGATGAGGACGGGTGCGGCGACGGGGAAGACTCGCAGCAGCAGCTGCGACGGCTCGTCGCTGAGATTTCCGAGGCCGAGAAATTCACGTTGGACGTGCTGAGCCAGCCAGAGCCGCGAAAGAGCACGTCCGGGATGGGCCGAGATCAGGAGACTGCGTCTGACAACCACAGGCCACTCTCTGTTGCCAATGGCAACCACACGGAGGCTGACGCACGGACACTAATCCTCACCGATCACACGAAACGCGGTTCGGGCGAAGAGCGTAGCTTCGGACCGAGGGACGCGGCAGTTGCCGTGGCGAAGGCAGTTCAGTATCCGAGCGATGGCCTGCAGACGACCAGACTGAGTCCTATCGCATCGCCGGGCATGAATTCTAAACAACAAGAGCTGCTGTGCTTTGTACCGACAGGGTTGAAGAAAGACCAAATGGTAGTAGACAGCTGAGTACTACAAATTATGCTGACAGTAATAATAGTGCTGCCTCTTCATCTTCTTCTTCTTCTTTTTCTTTGTCTCCCTTTTCTTCTTCTTCCTCTTCATTTTCTTTGTCTTCTTCTTCTCCTCTTTCTTTTTCTTTATTTTCTTCTCCTTTTCTTTCTTTTTATCATTAGTATTATTAGAATTGTATTGGTGGACGTAATGGGAGTGATAGTGTAGTAGCAGCAGTAGTAGCAGCAGTGTTTTTAATACTGTTGTCATTCTCCTTGCCTTCGTCATGATTGTCATCATCATGACAATAATTATAGCTGTAATGATTTTGTAATTTAATGCACTTCAATCTCAGTCTGATGTTCGTGAATAACTACGTCGCTGCTCTGTGATTCTGCAACAAGTTAGGGCAAGTTACTAAAGACAACTAATGGCTAGTACGTGGAATGTCGAAGGTCGACGCTCAGCCGTGTTTTTTTTTACCCCATGTAGATGAGCCTGCAGATGCTGGCGAGGAGAGAAGGAGCGCGATTCACATCGCGCTGTTCACCAGCTGCGACCCACATCATCGTCAACACTGTGCCAGGTACGTAGCCCAGGGGTCGAGCTTATAATTGTCTAGAGCAACACAAGTGTTGCCTTGGTTCAATCAGAGATATTTGCGCACCGATGCAGACGTTCCCTTCAAATTACTGTATACGCTATATTTTTCGCGTACAGATATTTTTCGCGAATTCATACTTGATGGACAATTTCGCGAGTGGTTAATTTTGCGGTCAGTAAATTGTGAATTATTTGGTATTATTCGGTGTGAATTATTCGCGTGTTGTTATTTTTGCGGTCGGGGACGCGTTCGCGAAATTCGCGAAAACTAAACCACCGCGTATTATACACCGTATACAGTAGTGTTATCATGGTCTCGTAATATAAAAAGAAGTTATTTACGCTGGACAAAGAGAGATAGACATACACTACATTGGATTTTTGACGAGATAGGTGAACTAAGTTAAGCTGCCACGTCGTTTTATTGCTGTTGGTGTAGTCAGTAATTTTCAGAGGCACCACAGCAAGTAAGGAGCGCAACCCTGGCATAAGCTGCTAATGCCATTGTATAATACACGCTTGTGATTGTTCGTATACAAAGTTATAGACATACACTGAGCTTTTTTTACTAATTGCCGCAGGTTCCCCGCGTGTCTGCGAGAGAACACTCAAGTACTTTCAGGCCATTGCGGGAGGGAAGTGGTTGGTGTCCTATGGCTGGGTCGAAGCTAGTTGGACGGCCGGTCATCTAGTATCTGAGGTTAGTGATAACCACGTCCATCTTCTGCTATTAAGCAAAAATTGGCTGTTATAGACTATATCGGTAGAAACATAATAATCATTCATAAGGGCCTGATGAAGTGAAGTGCGTGTGAAGCGTGTTATATCTTAATCCTCATATGGTCGGCGAAAGACACGGAGGTACCGTTTAACTCGGCTGCTGGGCGACACGATCGTCATGTGGTCGGTGCAAATACACGGGGGGCTACCGTTATTCGCCGATTGCTGGGGCGGACACGGCTGCTCCAGTGGTTGGGACAAGACACGGACCAGTACCGTTAACTCGGCTAGCTGTCGGGCGACGACGTTTCGCCCTCAGGTGGTCGGGGAAAGACACGGACGGTACCGTTTAACTCCGCTGCTGCGGCGACACGATCGCTCAGTGCGTTAGGGGAAGACACGGCAGTCGTGGTTACCGTTAACTCGGCATGCTGCGGGCGACACGATCGCTCTCATGGTCTGGTGAAAGACACGAAGGTTACGGTTAACTTCGGATGCTGGGGCGGACACGATCGTCATGTGCACGTCAGGAAAAGACACGGAGGGGTTACGGTTAACTCGGATGCCTGGGCGACACGATCGCCTCAGCTGCGTCGGGAAAGACACGGAGGGTACCGTTAACTCGGCTGCTTGGGCGACCGATCGCTCAGTGGTCAGGGAAAGACACGGAGGTACGGTTAAACTGCTGAGATGCTGAGAGCGACAACGCTACGCGTCTTCAGTGGGGTCGGGGAAAGCACAGGAGGTACCTGTTAACTCGGATGCTGGGGCGACACGATCGCTCAGTGGTTGGGAGAGACGTGAGAGGTCGCAGCGGATGGCAGAGGTTGGCAGGGAGACGTGCGGCGCGGCGCGAGTCGCCGCCTCTGGATGTGTGACACGACGAGCGACGCGGAGTGCCGAGACGACAATGACGATGGCTCGCTAGAAACACGCGTCGCGACGTTCAAAGTTGACGCGCCGGATGAACGATGCCAGGAACGACGAAATCTACCGGTCTCCTCCTCCGACATAGACAGCAATGGTGAGGCAGAGGAGATCGAGGACGAACAGGAAACGGCGTTGGAATATGACCACATTGGTGGGAAAGTCGAGGAGGAGGAGAGATCATTAGAAAATATGGCTATCCATGGGCAAACAGAGCAGGAGAGAGCATTTAGAAAGATATGGAAACTGATATAGAGTCAGAAGAAGAGGTGGTGATAGTGTCAGATGATGTAGATACCCATCGGGTAGCATGAGGGAGGGCAGGCGAGAGAGGCAGATGCAGCGGGGTACCGTAATCTGCATTGGGTCTCCCATATCAGCGGCCACCAGGGGACGATGAGTCTGCCTCACACGCGCAAACGCCGACAAATAGGCCTGTGATCGGCGACGTGGGACATGACAGGCCATTCTCTTCATTAAGCGCACCCGATGATAAAGATCCTGATGTGCTGTTCTCCTTAACGAACACACCCCCTGTTGAAAACAATGATGAGCTGTTCTCCTTAACGAACACACCCACTGTTTCGAGCACAGGGATGGAGCTGTTCTCCTTAACGAACACACCCACTGTCGAGCCACAGGATGAGCTGTTCTCCTTAACAAACACACCCACTGTCGAGCCACAGGATGAGATGTTCTCCTTAACGAACGCACCCGCCGTTGAGCACCAGGATGAGCTGTTTTCCTTAACGAACGCACCTGCCGTTGAGCACAAGATGAGATGCTTTCGTCTTTAATGAACGCACTGCCGTGGAGCCACAGGACGGAGCTTTTTCCTTGACATAACGCACCTTGCCGTTTGACCACCGTTCTATCGCTGACGGCAATGCCGAGGCATTTTGCGTGATCGACGTACACAGAGAGAGTGAATGCTACTTGCTGGCCCATTTACAGGTGACATCGGCAGAGACACTAGCAGGCTAGAATGTAAGCATGCTAAGAAATACGAAGCGTTCGTGGGAGCGTGGAATGCTCGCATTCTCTGAAAGGTTGATAGCAGAAGCTCTAGTTGTGGCGTTGCTGCACATTGTTTCGTGATGTTTGTAAATTAGATGTTGTGTCTCTCAATGGTGCACAGACCCCCTGTGGTGGCGTCAAAGCCCCTGTTAGGTGGTGTCAAGGCCCCTGTGGTGCTTGTGCTAGGCTGTTGTGGTGCGTGCATCCTTCTTTGGTGCTGTTTCAGTGGCACGTGCGCGCATCGGTTGCTGATTTCATTTCTAAATATTGATTTATTTTCAGTTTTTACGTATTGTTATTAAATAGGGGTACTTGCATATTTAAATCCATGTTATGAATATAAATTAAACAGGGTAAATAATGACAAATTTTGTCATTATTTGACAATCTTATATGAGAGAAATTTGTTGATTGATTCACCCCTGATATTAAGTATTCCCTCTGGCTGACAAGTCTCGGATGACGGTCTTAGCTGGCGTTTTCGCTCACGGTGTTTCAAAATTTTATTTTGCACATGTGAGCAGATGAGAATGAGCTGCATGCAACGAGGGCCATGTGAATCTCAACTCGGTGTAGTCCTTTCTCCTCCAAAGCGAGCCTCATCGATTCACAAGGTTAGCGTACTGCAAACCTTTCAGCTGTGATAACTGCGTTTCACAAGCAGGACCTCCTGATCGGCGCAAATGATTATTTATGCAATATCATAAATATAATATCTTTTTGTTTGTGCATGTAGTTATGTTTTTTAAAATCGTTTAGCACGTAAAGAAAATTAATATTCAATTAAATTTACATTTCACTCACGACTGTTCATTTTTAATTGAGAATCACTATTCGTACAACGTTAAAGCGTGGTAAGTATATGCGTATATATGCGAAATGCGTATCCTCTCTTCAGCAAAAGGAAACGTTGGATGAGTGAATATGGCAAGCTGGCACGAGAGCAATGAAGATGCTACAGGAGCCAACTGCTGGCGCAGCCACTTCAATCGTGTCTCCTACGCCGACTGGCCACGGGACTGCAGCCAACGTTGCAGGGTCAGACTATGGAGCGTTCTGGGGGCAGGGTTGATCGTAGTGTGCATTCTATAAGTTTGTGTGTGTTACACATTGCGGCTGCGTTTCGTGTTTCGAGCTGTGGTGTGTTAGCAGTGGAAGTCCCCGTTTCATGAATTTCTGCTGCTGATGTTTCGATGACTCACATCCTTCTATTCGATTATGATAAAGATCTTGTATTAATGAGATGAACCAGTGTGGAAATCTCATCCATCTCGAGTGATGCTGTACAGGCTGTCCTGCATCCGTAATTGCCTAGTCTCCCAGTTCAAATTCTTCTACCATTAGATATTTCATTTTAGAATCGGATTTAATGAATACGTATCATGTCGCTCGCCACTTTTTATGTTTTTTCGACACTTTTTTGTCCTTTGCGCCTTTAGGTGAACAGTCGAACGGTCGAGAATAAGTCCCGGATACGGAAGAGGTATCTGTTTTCCAGCCCTCTCTCGCTCTCCTCCTCCCGCGTATCGTTGACCGCTTCATTGTTGCTCTGCCCAGCCGACGTAAGATGCTGCAGAGGTGTTTCACAACTGAGCCAGTAGCGTCTATTTTGGTTGTCTTCTGATAGTCATTCATGCAAACGCATTCTCCCGTGAGGAGCGGCTGGAAGGTGGCTCACCGCCTATGACCCATTGAAAGCAACACTGCCGGAATGCAACCCATGATTTGACATCATTCCTGCGAGCAAGGTGCCCCCAAAAGTAACGAACAGGAAGTTGATGCCCGAACGGACATGGCGTTGGAAAGTGCTAGGAAAGTGATGTTGTCGGAAAGTGGATGGCAGAGGCGACATGGCTGAAAAGCGATAAGAAAGTGATGTTGCCGGAATAGCGCTTATGGAAAGAGACGCTTGGCTGGAAAGCGGCTGAAAGGCGTTCTGGTCGCGGGATAAGGCATGGGAGAGCCACACGTCCGCTGGGAACCACTCTCCACACTGAGGAAGACCAACGCACGACAAGTGTCATTGCCGACACACCAGGCCGGCAGCGAGATAGGAGACGAGCGATAGCGAAGTGTGGCCGTCGTGCCCGACGATTCGCGCGAGCATTCCCGAGGAGGGGTCACGCTAGGTGCAGCCACCGCGCATATATGGCTCGTCAGCTCACGAGTCTCAGCCAACGGGTCCATTCCGTCGAGTGGAGGGCCACCGGGCGTTCTCCGCTCGCCGATGACAACTACAGGGCCACTTCTCCTTGCCGCCCCAACGACACAAAATGCGCCGCTCTCTGCTTGCAACGATAATCCACAGCCTGCTCTCTTGTGTGCGGACGACAACCACATGCTTGCTCCTCTGTTTGCGACGACAACCACGGTTCCACTCTCATCGCGACGACAACCAGCAGGCCCACTCTCTGTGGCCGACGACAACTCACAGGCCGCTCTCTGTTGCGACGGACAAGAAAATCCCGCAGAAGTCCAACGATGCCAGGAACGTGAGCGGTTTCCAGCAGCGTGCTGGGAGCGAGGCGGGCACGCCGCTGGCAATCGATACAGATAGCGGATGTCATAGTGACGACGCGGCTGGACTATCTGTGACAGTGCAACCGAAACGCCTCACAGGGGGCGCCAACACACGTCCGTCGCTCACGCGGTCGGGGAGGCGACGCGCAGCGCCCTCTGTGAGTGCGACCGGCGACGGCGATAGCGGGGACGGATCGTCGTCGGGTCTCGGGCGATCAATCCAACGGACGTCAAACCGCGACAAGGTGTCAACAAACGAGCATCCCGCCGCCCGGCGCGGCACGAACAGCGGCGACGGCTCCGTCGCCGACGGCGACCGTTGCCGTGACGACGACGGGAGGCGGAGCGACACGCCCGCGAGTTCGCGCGTCAGTGACGACGTCCTATTTTCGTCTGGTGACGACCGTCGTGGGGGAGCGATGAAGCGAGGGCTTGCCCGGGGGCAGTCTCCACAAGGTCAGGTCTGTGCATCGGACGGCGCGTCGTCACCGATCGACGTCGCAGAGGAGACCCACGTCGGATCTCGGCGGGACGAGAAACCGAGAAGTGAGCGGGGAGATGCCGACAGCTTCAGAAGTCCAGACGTGCGCGGCCGCAGACGGCTACGCAGCCCGCAGTCAGCCACACGTCGCGGCCTCGCCAGACTGCCACCCCCCGCGGGCGAAGAGCCGGCAGTAGGAGCGCACTCTGGTGGCGCGAGCGAGCGACGCGCCGACGGAATGCAGAGCGAGAGCTTTGTCGTGTCGCCAACTCCGCCCACAAACGTGGCGTTGCGGCGCTTGTGTGGGGCGGCTCATGTGGCAAAGTCGCGCGCGGGGGAGCAGGAGGAGAGGAGAATCTGCTCCGAGGAGGACGGCAGTGAACTTTCAGCGGCCCGGCGCGACGGTAGGGAGGCGGCCCCAGATGGCTCGGCGTCCGTCACGGTCGCGGGATCGTTAAGCGGGACGCCTCGCGGCGTAATCCCAGAGTTGCCGATGATGGAACTCTCGAGTCGAGGCGGCACCTCCGTGGCGGTTATCGCCGCCAGCCAGGACGTTCTTCTGTCTCCCGCGTCGCCCAGCTGCAAGCTCGCGCACGCCATCTCCCTGCGGCTGCTAGCCACGAGCCCAACAGAGGGCACTGTCGATGACAATCTCGACATCGAACCCGCGTCTCCGGTTCGTACGCCGCACCGATCTCGTCGCTTCAAGACGAAGATTGATTGGACGTTCCTGGATGAAGATGCTAAGACAGCCGTTGCCGCGATGCGTTGCCACGGTGATGCGGCAGAAACGAATACGCGCGGCAACAGCAGGGAGTCTCCTCACCATTCTCTGTGGGAGTCGCCGCTGCAGGAGAAACCTGCCGCAGGTGTGTGCATGATACTTTCATCTGCCATTCAACACGTCAAGCCGACATTAATTAATGACCTTAATTAATATTTTTTATATTGTTTTTTATTAAAAAAGTTTACTGGGTTATAACTCGGTGAGCTTGTTTAATTAAAAAAAAATGGGGAAAAGTTTGAGAACGTTGCATTACGTAACCTTTCGCGAATTTACGCGTTAACAATTTTTTATTTTAGTTGACGGACAGACCCCTCGTGGTGTTGCCCCACTCTTGAGCCCCGGTGTCAGGATGAAGTCACCTTTACAGATGGTCAGAACGTCGTCCAGGAGCAATTCTGGACATCCGTCTTCGTGCGGGTCACGGGACAAAGAACGGTCTGCCCTACCTTCAGGTAACGAATGGGAATTTATAGCCCGTCTATGGCTGGTTTGTGAACTGTATTGGCTGGCCAATCGTATATGTTAATTAATATAATGGAATGAGCACATTTCATCATTGCACGTTGTAGTTCCATTGTGCTCCACAAACCAAGTAATCGTGATTTACAGAATCTAAGTTTTTGTTGCAGTATTTACACGTATATTTACATGAAGGAGTAAAGAAGGTAACAAATCCATGGGTGTTAGATGGATTTCTGTATTGAGAAAAATTCCAAAATTTTTTTTTTATAAATTTTTTAAATTATCAGGAAATATCACCAAATGTGTTTTATATTGCACAGAATCCATAGCTTTGGCCCCCCATCGAACCCTTTTTTTCAGTCTTCACTTTTTTGTTAACACCAATGCAAATCTGACAGGGGTGGATTCAAGACGACAAACCCAAGACGTCATCCCGACAGGAAATCCGTCGGCACCCGGCGGCTCCGCACATGAACCAAAGACGTTCAGTGGGTGTGACGAGGATGTCGAAATCACGGAGGTTCTAGCCAACGTCCCGCCAGATTTTTCTGTAGGTGACGACTCCGTCCCAATGGCTACGCTGTCTCTCGACCCGGGGAACGGACACAGAAGTACGGTTAACTTTGACGCTGGGGCGACACGGCTGCTCAGTGGTCGGGAAAGACACGTATAGACCAGGATCAGAATACTACATCTGGGATGAACGGGGATCAGAATATTACATCCGGAATAGATCGGGATCAGATAAGCACCGACATTCCGACGTATGGACCCGACGACAACGGAAATCCACGTGGAGGCGACGCGGCAGACGTCACCGGACCACAGAAGAAATCGGTATCCTCCAGGCGCGGCGTGAGATCGAGCGAGGCGATCGAGCGTGACCAACAGAGTCTCTTCGGGAGATCTTACGCGCGGGGCCGCGCGGGAGCTAATGCCGCGAGGAGGAGGTCCTCCGTGGCTGGCCGACGCGATGACGAGCTCACGCGCATCTACACGGAGGAGGAGGAGCTACGCGCTCGTACCCTCGACGCCACGGCTGCCACGTCGCGCGCCGCATGCCGGAACAAAGAGCGAAGAGTCTGCTACGATCTCGCCGAGAGAGACGAGCGCGTCAGCGTTGTGGCGCAGATTCACTGGCAACCAGCTGGTGACTCTGCGCTGGTCGTCGGTTGCCTTAGCGACAAGGACGAGACCGTGACAGACGCTGCGCCAGACGCCGGTCGCCATGACGACGAGAGTGATGTTGTGACCGTCGCCGAGCCGGTTGGTTGCCGTGACGACGAGATGGATGCCGTGACCAACGCCGTGCAGATGACAATGTCTCGGACAGGTGCGGCAACGAGCCCGGCCCGCAAAGTCTTGAACGGCAACGTGCAGGCGCGCCCTGCATCAGATGCTGCCGGAGGTACGGAGTCGAGTGTCACTCGTCGGCCACGTCTCGACCGGGGACGCGGACGCGAGCGTCGTCGCCACGGCAACGAAACCAAACCAAATTGCGACGATCGCGGGGCCGCCACTGCAAGCGACGCCGGCAGGAGCAACCACAGGGCGCCACGAGGCCTCGAGATGTACCGATGTTCGTTCGTCGAGGGGCAGACCAAGAAGAAAGCGAGGGCCTCTCGAACGGGAAGCAAATCGAAGCAGAGAAAGGCGACGGAGAAGAAGAAGGAGGAGGCGAATGTATCACGATGTAGCGAGCGCGGGGCCAACAACGCCGATGACCCGTATGCGTTTCCGAACAGTCAGAAGACGCCGCCGCCCAAGGTCGCGTGCGTGACGTCGAAGGTCGCGACAACGCAGACAAAGATGAAGATGCGGCGGCACGGTGTCGTCGAATTTGTCAAAATCGATAAAAACCCTGCCGGCGAGAAAGCGAGGTGCAAAACAAGCGAACAGTACGTCGTAACCGACAGAGACGACTCGTCGGAGCCGCGACGATCGAAGCGCAATCGCGGAAGACTGGTAATCTATTCAGACGACGGCGACGACGACGACGACGACGACGAGGACATTGAAGTGGCAGAGGGAAGCAACGCAGCGGCAGAGCTGCCTGCTCAGGGGACACCACAGCTGCCTGCTATTGACGAATCGTGGAGCCGCCCGCCGGCGCCACCTGCTGACTGGTCTCACAGCAAGCAGATGGCGAGAGATTTCCCCGTGAAGGTGAAGCGGTTAAGTCTCGCGGTGCCGCAAGCACCCCCTGGTGTGTGTGCGAGCGAGCGGCCTCTGCGCGGGTTGCCGAAATCGTCGCCACCCTCTGCAGAATGGGAGGCGAGCATCGAGGCGTGCGACACGGAGCCGGCTGGTCGCCGTGGCGACGCGGAGGATGCCACATGCGGTCGCCACGGCGACGCACGGAGTGATGGGGGAGGAGGTGCAGGGATGAGCGGTGGGAGCGTCATAATGGAGACGTGCGACACGTCGCCGCTGCTAGTGAGTCCTCCTTCGCAATCGCTCCTGGCACTTCCTAGCGAACTCGGCGAGATCGAACAACCTGCTCAGGTGCTGACGGCGACTGTGGCGCCCTCTCAAGCAGAACGTGCGGACCTCTCGTGTCGAATACCCTCGCAGTGTGATCCCATCGGAAGCATCCCCGTACTGACCTTGTCGGGGGATTCAGGAAGTAAGGGCAGCCCGGATGTTATTCCTCCTACGTGGGTCGCATCAGCAGCAGCAGCAGCGAAACGCTCGTCCTGCCTCGCCGCGGGCGACGCGCATGAGAGCGAGCCCGTCGCAAGCAGCCAGCATCTCGACGCGCGCGGGTCGGCGGAGGTCGCGGCGAGCAGCCAGCATCTCGACGCGCGCGGGTCGGCGGAGGTCGCCGCGAGCAGCCAGCATCTCGACGCGCGGCCGTGTCGCCATGACGACGGCGACACGCGCGGGTCGACGGAGGTCGCCGCGAGGCGCGGCACGTTCACCCTCGGTGCCGACACGCAGTGCTTGGAGGGGATCGCCGCGCAGTCGCTCGACATGACAGAGATCGTGATGCTGGCCGCATCGTCGGGCAGCGCTCCCCCCGCCGACTCCGACGCGACACAGCTGCTGCCCTCTACCGGTGAGGACGGGAACGACGTGGGCGGATCGCCGCAGCGGCGACTACGCAAGAGGCGGTCGCAGTCTTCGTCAGTCAGCGTCGTGCCGGACACCTTGGTCGTCGGCGACACTTGCGGCAGCGCGGCGTCGTCGCCGTGGCAACCCTCCCGTAGACCGGCGCCGCCGGCGAGCCAGCGTTCGGAGGAGTTTGTGTCGGGAAGCGTGCGGACGCCGTCTACAGACCAGCGGCAGCCGATCGTGTTCGCGCGGCGACGGGAGGGGGACGAGAACGATCGCCACGCGCTAACGGACACCCCGCCGTCGCTTCCGATCTCGCTCGTCGCTGCCTACCAAGACACGAAGCGGGAGAAACAGCTGGGTTCCCGTGGTTCCGCGGAGAGTGAAAGCAACGACAGCGAACACCACAGCACTCGCAGCACAACGGTCGTCGAGACGGCGAAGATTCATTGCCGCTGTCCTGGCGAAACGAGTGGAGCGACAGGAAGTGGATGTAGGGTGGCGGAACCGACCGACGGCAGCGACAAATCGCTTTTCACTACGCCGGCAGAAAGCACGGGGAAATCCGTGAGCGTCTGTCGCACCTCCGGGAAGGCCACTGACGATGGTAGCACGACGGTGACGTTAACGACGACAGGCAACGCATTATCAGGAGAAGGTAGACGCAGGAGCGAGCGAGGCACCACCGACGCGTTGCCAGGAGAAGAAAGATGCAGCAGGGAGCGAGGCACCACCGACGCATTGCCAGGAGAAGGAAGT